GTTTTTCTATAAAGTCTACCTCATTTTCATCATCATTGATCCTGTTTTCTGCTCATCCTGCAGAGGGGATTTGATCAACAATGGCTCTCCATAACATTCTCCAAGGCAATATTTATTGGCAATGGTCTGGTCGCTATAGTGTCTGGATTGTTTGGAAATCTGCTAGTTGATACCTTGAGTCTTGGCCCCGTGTCACCCTTTGATGCTGCCTCATGCTTTCTTGCTATTGGAATGGCCGTTATACTATCATCATGGAGTGAGAACTATGGAGACCCTTCAGAGAGCAAGGACTTGCTTACCCAGTTCAAGGGTGCTGCTGTGGCCATTGCTTCTGGTATAGTCAGTCATATATGAGATCTTGAATAATTCGTTAGCCTATGAATGTTCATGGACTAGACTTGTGGACTGCATACAGGATTCAATGAATCTGCCTGTTGATTGTCTACAATGTTGAGTTAAATTGGAATAAAAGAAAATAAAGAACAAGCTACCTGTATCTTAAACCACCCTGTGTTTGCAATGTTTTCATGAGTTCTTGCTGGTAGCCTTTTCGAAATGGTGGGCCAAGCTTAGTTTGATGTGTCTAATTGGTTTTTGGTCATTGTTGCCACGGTTTATCCAAATATTTCGGAGTCTCTATTTCGAAGTCTCCTTTTCTATTTTTGTTCATGTTTATATTCGCTGGCAGACCCTTATTTTTATGGTTTATGTGGGTCAGATGAGAAGATTGCATTGCTGGGTGCGATACAGTCCCTGTTTGAAGGGTCAATGTACACCTTTGTGTTCCTCTGGACACCTGCGTTGAGTCCAAATGAGGAAGACATTCCCCACGGTTTTATTTTTGCAACTTTTATGTTGGCTTCAATGTTGGGAAGCTCTGTTGCATCTCGGCTGATGGCCCGCACATCACCTAGAGTTGAAAGCTACATGCAGATTGTTTTTGTGGTTTCTGCTGCCACTCTCCTGCTTCCTATTGTGACGAGTGTATGTTCTGGATTTTATGTTTCCATTTTTGCTTACTTTTACATACTATGGTTAAGGCCATCTCTAATTTGGTTATTTGGAACAGTTTTTGGTAGCTCCTTCTAAGGTGAAAGGTGGAAGCATCTCATTTGCAGGTTGTATCCAGCTTATGGGCTTCTGTACCTTTGAGGCTTGTGTGGGTATATTCTGGCCTTCCATTATGAAGATGAGGTCACAATACATTCCCGAGGAGGCTAGGAGCACCATCATGAACTTTTTCCGCATTCCTCTCAACATCTTTGTGTGCGTCGTGCTATACAATGTATGCTATTGGACTTTCTTTGTTTTGTTGCTCCACTTAAAACTGCACTCTATGGCTCATATAAATAGTTGCAGAAACCCAACTTCTTTGTTGTCGTCGTCGACTTTTTTTTGTTGGGGTTATGTGTGTGTGTGTGGTGTTTCATTATGTTTTGCTTTCTTTGCCTAGAACGTATTGTTACTCATGCACAAATTTTTGGCCTATAGGCAACAGTGATCTTTCTCTTCGTCTAACTGTCCTTTTAACCTCCTCCCCACCCCCCAACCCACCCCAGTGAGACAAACAAAAAATTGAAAAAAGAGCAAAACACGATACTTTTTTAATCTTTCTTTTTATCATGCATCATCAAGTGTTCATTTGCTGTTACTAATTTTCATCTGTATATGAAGGTCAAAGCGTTCCCTATAACTGTAATGTTTGGCATGTGCTCGATTTTCCTCCTCGTGGCATCTATCTTGCAGAGGCGACTCTTGGTGATTGCTGATAAGTCAAGTAAGTAGTTTTGTGATAGAACTATAGGAGTTTTGAAATCATGATGCATTGGTGTACTCTTTGGTTCTGGCTTATGTAATACATAGTATTGGTAGCATAACGAAAATGACTTGCAACTATCGACTATTTAGGACATAAATGAATATTCTCTTGGTGCTTACTGTTGCTACGTCTGTGCTAATTGCAGAGACAGAAGATTGGACAGCATCGAAGGAAAAGGACCCTGAGGCTGAGCCACTGAACAATGATTGATTATAAAAACTACAGTGGGCAAAAAACTTGGGTGGTTGAAATTCACCACCTAATTCATTCCACAAACTGTTGCAGGTTCTGGTTGTTACTGGTGCTGCTGCAGCACTCGTGCCCGTGCCCAAAGCAAATACAGGCATTGGGGTCAGTTCATCTCTGCAGCACTTATTATTGGGATATTCAATTTTTCTTGTGTAATTTTACTGTTCTCTTTCTACTATAGGTCTCAGGTTTAAGCATATGTATTAAGACCTATTTTTGCTCATTACAGTATTTCTTCTTTTGATCCTTCCTTAAGTGCAACTGTGAAAAGGCCCTAATGATTCTTTTAAGCACCATTTTGTTCCTTAATTACCCCGAGTTGAGTTCCAAATAACTGGAAGCTTAGATGTACCTCCTACGATTATAAGGTAGGAGAGGGTTTGAAATCCGTCTATAAGATTAAGAAAGGGGAACGTGGAACTTTGTAAATAACACTTACAACTCTTCCAAAACTGACCAGCCATTCGCTGTTAATATTTTTTCTGAAACTAATGTAGTANAGTTAAATTGGAATAAAAGAAAATAAAGAACAAGCTACCTGTATCTTAAACCACCCCGTGTTTGCAATGTTTTCATGCGTTCTTGCTGGTAGCCTTTTCGAAATGGTGGGCCAAGCTTAGTTTGATGTGTCTAATTGGTTTTTGGTCATTGTTGCCATGGTTTATCCAAATATTTCGGAGTCTCTATTTCGAAGTCTCCTTTTCTATTTTTGTTCATGTTTATATTCGCTGGCCGNTAAGTAAATAGTGAAATGTTTTTTTGAAAGAATTATATTTAAGCCGAATGAAGTTTTCTCATTTAATCACTTAACCTCTGATATTTGAAATATTATATATAAATTTCCTGAGATTTGTACGTACGTAATTCTTAGACTCTTGTCGTTAATGTTTGTTAGAAAAATTATATTCAAACTCCCTTGAAATTTATAGGCATGTAATATTTAAATCCATCAAGTTTAAAATTTAATACTTAGACAAAAAATAATTCAATTAAAGATAAAAAAAATTAAATATTTTAAATTTGATAATCAAAATTTATGTTTTNTAAGTAAATAGTGAAATGTTTTTTTGAAAGAATTATATTTAAGCCGAATGAAGTTTGTCATTTAATCACTTAACCTCTGACATTTGAAATATTATATATAAATTTCCTGAGATTTGTACGTACGTAATTCTTAGACTTTTGTCATTAATGTTTGTTAGAAAAATTATATTCAAACTCCCTTGAAATTTATAGGCATGTAATATTTAGATCCAAGTTTAAAATTTAATACTTAGACAAAAAATAATTCAATTAAAGATAAAAAAAATTAAATATTTTAAATTTTATAATCAAAATTTATGTTGTNAAGTTTAAAATTTAATACTTAGACAAAAAATAATTCAATTAAAGATAAAAAAAATTAAATATTTTAAATTTGATAATCAAAATTTATGTTTTATTATGTTATGTATTCAAATAAAATCAAAAATAAATATTCAATTTTTTCTTTAAAAAATCATAATTATTATACAAGTATACTATCTATTAAATGATCAAAATATCTCAATTAAAGATAGAAGATATTGTGTCTATTATAATTTGATCCATTGTTTATTTTTTTAATTTTATTTCAATAGATAATGTAATTGTACACTAATTACAATTTTAAAAAAAAAATTAAAATTTTATATTAATAAATAATATAATAGAACATAAATTTTTGTTTTAAAATTTAAAATATTTAATATTTTATCTTTGATTATAATATTTTTTATTCAAGTATAACATTTTAAATTTAAAAAGTTGAAATATTACACGCATACAAACTTCTGAATGNTTTATTTTTTTAATTTTATTTCAATAGATAATGTAATTGTACACTAATTACAATTTAAAATATTTAATATTTTATCTTTGATTATAATATTTTTTATTTAAGTATAACATTTTAAATTTAAAAGGTTGAAATATTACACGCATACAAATTTTTGAAAGTAATTTACTAATAGATATTCTAACGGACATTAACAGTAATGGTCTAAATGTTGTGTGCGTACAAATTTCAAGGGGTTAACGGGTATAATATTTCAAATGTCAGAGGATCTAAGTGACAAACTTCAAAAGGTTTGAGAGTAATTCTTCCCTTTTTTTTTTTTTTGGATCCAGAATAAATGGTGATACTGAAAAAGAGAAACAATTGAGTTTGATGGACACAGTAATAGTGACCAAGTGTCTTCATCAGCTGTACAAAACAACTTTTACATAGGAAATCTCTCCTAAGCTCCTGTTCAAGAATACTAGAAACAGGACCAAGGGGTAGGCAGGGTTATTGGGAGGAGAGTAGTAAATATACCAAGGATGGATAACTTGGTACGATCTAGATAAATGAACAAAATAGTAACATCAATAAATGGTGGGTCAAACTCATCAAGACACTTGGTATAAACCTAGCATAAAATGACAAATTGAATGACAAGACTCTCACCACCACGGAAATTATGAAGAAATAAATCTACACAACCTTACCCCAAACATCTCCAATCTCAAAATTAATTACCCAATCACATCAAAAAAAGAAAAGATGTAAACATATAAACTTAAAAATATTAAGGAAAACTCAATAGCACCAATTAGTTCATTCATATATATATCTCTAATGTACAACCAATAATTTTTCATAAATATTTGCTTTTTGGTAAAAATGTTGAATTTTAGTATACAAGCTTATGTTGCATATCTAGTGGGAACCACCCTCCCCGGGGCCCTCATCCAGAAAAACAGATGATCATTTGGCTGGTCTTCCTGATAAAATTTGTACAGAAGCATCCTAAGAAAAAATTGCATTGCCGGAAACATGAAGAAATGACTCTAAAAGCCTCATCATCTATCATTAGTTGAAAGTAAGGACAATACAGATGGGATCAGATTCACCAACCTTTCCCTCAAGCTGGAAACGGTATTTACCAAAGGTTCGCAAAAGTTCATGTCCTCACGACTGAACTCGTCACCTTGTAGCACTTTGAGCTGACTTTCTAAATACCTTCTGAGACTAGCCTCTGCAACATTAATTAAACTGAGAGAAGCATTTGTGTGCATGTATTTTGTAACTAGGAATCCTGCAAGAATCTGCTGGCCGGCCTTCACTAGCTCTGCTAAGAAACATGGGAATAGGACTCTTCGGAAAAGAAACAAGAAATTTTTCTTGCTTTCACGGTCACTTGTCCCTCTGTGCTTGAGGCTCAATAATTGGGCCTCCTGACCTAGTCGAGAAAAATTCCCGACCATATAGCAAAGATACGAAAAAGTAGTTCCATAAGAAGAATTGGTGATGATAGATGAGACGATACCTGAAGACAATACAAGAACCAATAACTCATGGTCCCTGCCAACTGTGTCTGATACGCCTCCTTGTTTCAGTTTGTTCTCAACTGAATCCAAGCACTGTAGTTGTATTGCTTCATAAGGCAGTACCAGTGCCATCTTAAGAGCAAAAAAGCAGTCCACATCAACTACTATTTGGCTCAAGCTATGAGCACCTTCTTCATCCAGCAATATTCCAGAGGTCTTTGCAATTGATTGATCAATCAGTTTTAACAAGTCTCTAAATCGAAATTGCATTACAAGTTTTTTAAAGATCTCCATCCAGCAAGCATGCAGAGGATGAACTGAAAGGGTGTTCTCTCTAACTACTTCTTTCTCGACAGATTCTTCCTGAAAGCTTTCCCATCCCTCATCCCAATCATCGTTGCTCCAACTGTTTCCAGTATCAGATGCTTCTGCCAAATCTGTCTCTTCTTTCCTAGTGGTAAAGAGCCCTTCCCACTCACCCAAAATGGCTAGCAATGCATCAATATGGGATTCAGAAATGGCAGCTTCAGATACCTTTAGGAAGCAAGAAATAGCCGATCCCGCGGTTGAAAGAATATCTGAGGTAATTTCTGTGCTTGGTGAGATGGTAGACACCAGCTGTGAAGATTTAAGGGCAACCAAAGTATTTGTAAACTTGCTAGATGCATCTTTTACATTAGGCACGCCATGATTGTCGAAAGTTTCTGCACTTGCCGTTGTAATTTCCAAATTGTCCCACCCATCCCATGGTAGAACGTTGGCCTGTAGCTCGGCAGAAAACCCCTTCAAATATCTACCTGTAGCTGTGATAAACTGCATAAGCTCAAGAGCATAAACACGAAGATGGCACGGCAGCTGCATGTCATCAGAAAACATGGCAATTCTTGCCCAAACTGCATGCCTGACCCTCTTCAGTTGATCCAGATCACCCTCCAGTTTACTCAAAGAAGACAAGAAACGATGCAGATTCTGGTGCTCAAGGGATCCACTGGCCAAGTCCTGCAATATGGTCTCCAATATACTTAAATAAAGATTGGGAAGATCCAGGGCACTGTCGAGATATCTTTGAGTGTCTGTAATCAAAGTTGAGCCAGATGGGAACTGTGACAGCACTTCGGAAAATACACCCACTATGGCCTCAAACCCACAGCCAGAGAAAATCATTGCTCTGCAGAAATTTGAAATTTCAACAGCAACACCACCTAATAGGCCACACTTACCATAACTAACTACAGTGCCCCATCCCCGACTTGGTGAAATTTTCCCCTCCACAACCATGGCTACCAAGGCTTTAAGACACTCCATCAAACACTCAGGACGGATATTTTCTTTTAAACTGTCATGGGATGCAAATTCCTGCATGTCATCAGTGAGTCTGAGCCAGAAATTTAAAAGGAGAATGAGGCTGTCCTGCCATGCCAAGTCAAAAGATAGGCTCTCAGCAAAATTATTATGAGGTATGATTACTGAGAAGAATCGCTTCATTATGTCCATTACTCCTGGATATTCGAAGTCTCTTATATAAGATTTGCATGTATCATATGTCTGTTCAAGCTCATTTATTAAGCAATGAAAATCTTCAGGGCTTCGAAAATAGGTTTCTCTTGTAGCTTTAGTTTCCAAGGTAGTCAACAAATTCAGCACATGATGTCTGTAGACATACTGCCATGATATAAGACTCTCAGGGACTGGATCTCCGAGGAGGCCAACAAGGTTCTGGACCATTGTTGCCAATGCTTCCACACTGTGTTCATCAATGTGAGCACAGACTTCGCTATTGAAGCACTCCAAGTTTAGACCTCGTAATCCAGCAATATGTTTAAAGTTGAGGTTCTCAATAAAGGACACCCTCCTACATTCTTGCTCGATCATCTTGCAAAAACGAGCTAAGCCAAGAGTACTTGTATGCACGGGATCTGGATCAATTATGGGTAATGAATCTTTAGCTTCTTCTAGCTGCACGGAGCAATCAGATAGCAGGCCATATATGTAAGCAAGGCGCTGCTTGTCACGGCCATCAATTGCAGGGTAGACAGACAAGGAAATGGTTTTGATGACTTCCGCAGCAGAGGCCAAAATTTCTCTCTTGGATTCCGAAATTTCAGCAATGATATCCTCAGTTGTCCAAACCTCAGAAATAAGGACAGAACCAATGTACTGTAGTAGCACCTGAAAGAAGAAGAATTTGTAATGACGGTATCATTGAATAAATCAAATGGGGGAACATTCTACTATCTATCCTATGCCTTCTGAAGTCTGCATACCTTGGTGTGATCTAAGCCATAAGTGTAAGCTACTTTCAACACATCCTTCAAAATTTGCTTCTTCTCCAACTTTACTGATTCAACGAGGGAGAAAACAACACTCTCTATGTAAGCAATGTCCCCAGACAAAAAGCGTGCAGTTTCAACACCAGGAATTATTTGCTCTAACACCCTTGAATGATCTGCCACACGCTTTTGTTCTTCTAGTTTCAATTTCCAGTCTCTCCAAAACGAGGATTGTGCTTTGTCCATTCTGTCTCGTTCGTCTGGATTCAAAAGAAGAGAGGTGAGAAACAACATAGCAACAAAATACCAGGCATAGGGAGTTACAGCCAATTTTTTTGGAGCACCAACTATCACAAGAAGAGAAAAAAAGAATGGCATATAGATCTTATGGGCTTTCTAGAATCACCTGAAGTGAGAGATGTGTGTTTCTCTTGAAATTTCCTCAGCAGCAGTTCCCTCCTTTGAGCAGGACCCTCACAGCTGACTCCAGAGTTATGTAGTAAACCATACATCATCCCCACATTCATAATGCTACAGATTTCCTTGTACTCCTCCCTTGTTTTCGCCTGTTCTTCAATTATTTGTACCCCATGAAACTCATCTGTAAGATTCAACAGAAAGGAGCACCCTAAGATGTCTTCCTCTTCGGTAACAGGTGATTCCATAATTGATTTTGCTAGACAGGCGATCAAATCGTCTTTGGGAGCAAAACCATTCCTTCCTAACCAGGAAAGGATGGTTACTATTGCTTGTGTTCTTACATTCACATACTGCTTTCCAGGAATTGAGCCTGGAATGGTTTTCTTTTTGCTTTCTGCTTCCTGACTCAATTTAAGCAACCATGGAAGCCGCAAAGCAGCGAAGGACAAAACTTTCCCATTTTCTTTAAGGATAGAATCCCAATCGGAAAGGTTCTCCACAGACAGATATTTAGCGAAAACAGAGAGTATATTTCTTATGTTGTTGAAATGTACTTCTTGGTCATCATTGTTGATATCATTCACTGGTGTGGACAAATCTCTCAGGTCAACCATATCATGGGTACTATGGAGTGGATAGGAGATGATCGAGGAACCATGAACTGAGAATTTGGGAGGATCTGTCCCTGACAACATCATTAATGTTTCACATTGCCCTTGCATGTCTAGATCTTTCCATGCATGTAGCAGCTCACCAATTGATTCCTCGTCACAATGGCTCAAAGCAAAACCTAGAAGCTGCTTTCGAGAACTTATATCCATGTTTTCAAGGGCAGGACCTCTTGCCAGTGCAGCACATAAGTCCCAAACAGAACCATGTCCCTTTTTGGCCAAAACAAGACAGAGATCAAAAGCCAATTGCAGATCTCCAGCAACTGCTGCTTCTCTTGCAACAGCTTCTTGAACCAATGATATGTCATCCTGGGAGCTCAGTCCAAGAAGTTTGGCGATTTCAATAAGTTCATCAACATTTAGATAAGTCCCACCTTGACTTGTAATTGTCAGTTTAATGATTTCCATTGGATCTTTAATCTGCCTAAATTGTACCGGTAGAAGGTTCACTCCAAGGTTCGGAAGTCTAACAGTAAGAGCATCAATGATATCAGCCTCTGCACAGACATTTCTGCTGCTTGGAAAAATATTCAGGCACTCCTTAGCCTTCCAGATCTGATACAAGTTCCAGAAGTTTACTTGACAAATTTAAACAGAATTACTGTGACGCAACAGAAAACGTTTTATATAATGTTAAAACATAAAAAATATAAGCTCTCAAAAACTATTTTTGACATTAAATAAAATAGAGTGAAGAAGGATGTTTAGGGACAACCAACCAACAAAGAAAAATACTTGAAAACAAGTTGCGTATTACAAAAACAGTGAACAAGTGATACATCTACAAAAAAAACTTTAAAAAGTAACTACATCTACTGAATGGCAACAGAGCAAAATTAATGCTGAATAAAACGTATTTGGAGCAAAAATGCCAACTTCCTTTTTTATTTTTAACTTCGTGAATGATCCATTTATTCATATTTCAGTGCAAGGGAATGGGTGTGGGAAACAAGATTTGTTTTAACCACATATATATCTATGCATATACTGTCCCATTTTATGCAAGATAAGGTATCAGAATTTATTTTTTCTGCAATGTAACAGATGTTTGATACCTGATCTTTTCTCACTGGAGTTCACACAACAGTCCAATTAATATGTGAAGAAACTGTACATAAGCAAAAATATGTGCTATTCTAAGATGAAATGAGTCCATTTGTAGTATTATATCTAAGATTCTCAGCCATACTAAGGCGTCTGCACATCATGAATGAGGGTGTGCCTGATAGCATCCTGCTGTAAAGGGCAAGAGCATGCATGATATTACCATGAAATGCAACCATCATAATCAACCAACAAGATTGGACACACATAATAGCAGGAATATAGCACACCGTTACAAGATAATCAGATTGTTGTGATACAAGTAAGACTTGAATACTTACTTCTGAACAAGTAAGACTTGAAGCTGAGAAAAAATACTCTCTTGCAGCTTGAATGACAAGATTTTCCGCCTTATCTGTTGCCAAAGCACCTGAACCAGTACCTTTTAGATAGTTCCTTGCAAGTGAAAATTTCCCTGCTTTCAGCAGTCCCCTGCAAAACTCCATCAACATGTACTCTAAATCAAGAAAAGGAAATGCTTTTTCTTGCAAGGTGTGCAAATCATGCCACATGTTTGCCCAATCATTATCTGATCGGCCTGGCTGCCGACGAATAAATTTTGAGAGTATAAGACGAAGAATCTGTTTTACACTCTTTTCATCTGAATGCCTCTCCAGGAAAAAAGTAATTGGCTTTGGGACCTGCACGTAGAAATACCACAATCAATAAGATTCTACCTAGTGCCCTACACAAACAATTATCTCCATCGACATCAACTATCAAAAAGGTGACATGGCTAACCATGTGTTTCTAGCTACAATCATTTCCAATCAAACACCCTATTTCATCATTCTGATGGCCACATGACGGCTGCCTAACATAGGGGCTGCAGGTACAGTAAACTCAACCAAAATATGACAGCTGAAGGGCCCGGCATGCATAATCCTATCCAAGCCCAGGTTACCCCTTGCACTTTGGACAGCCGTCACTGGCATCATAAGGAGGACACCCCCCCCCCTTTTGGGGTGCAAAAAGTGTACAGTACATAGGAGGTTGGCCTTTCTCAACGTGGTACATAACACAAAAAACTGGTCACAATTTATTATAGTGACACATCTCAAACAAAAAGCAAACAGAGCAGAGGTCATTACATAAAAATAGTTCCATCGACAGTCTACCCTTGGTTTCACCAGGCCCTCACTTCTCCAAGAGGCAAATAGAGAAGTCTAATTAAGTCAAGAAAAAGTTGGATATTGCTACCTCACTGGTAAGAGATGCAGGGCTCTTAAAAGTATTTTCAAGACTTCCCACATGCAACCAGGAGATGAACTACATGAATGAAGCTAAACTAAAGAGACCAACTAACCTCATTATGGATGCAATTCATGAATACAAGCAAATTGAAAACACACGAGGCATTCTAAATTGCCACACAAAGGCATAAAATTTTTATGTCCAGTAATCTTGTAAAATCACACTTCTCACAAAAATGCTACAATACCAATGCAACATCTCCAAAATTTAACTATGAAATAAGTGCTCTGCTTCAAGTATCTCTGTTCATTGATTATTTTCTCTTTCTCTATTCCTATAGGAATATAGTCATAAATAGCAAAAAAAAAAAACTAAGAACGTTCCTAAAACATACTCGTTAAATACTTCCAGTAAAGAGTGATTCAAAAAAATAAATTAGCATAAAATCTACATGAATGAAAACAAGAACTGGTTACGTAACCATTACTGTGACATCAGGCTGCAAACTAACTGACAAAAACTAATAAAAAGTACATGCAATTATGAATTGGCAGATGTTGATGAAAAAGTATAGTTTCGAACAAGATCTCCAAGCAGGATTGTAGAGTTGTATAACTCAAAAGAGGCTAAAGCAATTACAACTTAAAAAGAATACCAAGGAGCATTGAAATGACTGAGTGCTGCTATTCAAGTCATCATATTATTAAGAAAGCAAACTCCAGTTAACAGATCTCCAAGCAGGATTGCAGAATTATATAGCTAAAAAGAGAGTACAAGGATTACCATGGAGCATTAAAAACACTAAGTGCTTCTACTCAAAGTCATCATTTAAAAGACAAAGCCAACTCAAACATCATGAATAATGTCCATAGAAGAGAGCATACAAACCTGGTAAAGTGCCAAAAGCCTTCCTGCTTCAATATGGCCTTCTGCAAGTTTAAGTCTTTTTTTGAGGCCCTCAACCTCAGAATCTGTCAGGTAGAATATTTACCATGTTATTCATGTTAGCAATTCCAAATGAATGTTGAGCATACTTAACATGGCTAAGGCATGCAGATATACATGTACACGCATTAATATGCGCACACACACACACAGATAACTGGCAGTGCACTGCAAGTCAACCTTGGACTTTTGGGTTCCTGTGAGATACATTAACCTCTTATGCATAAATTTTCTTTTACATATTGAGATGCATATAATTCCTTCTTTCAGTAAGCAACACACATTTCGTCATTCAGACCATAAAGGTATACAACTAGATAGAACTTGGAGACTGGTAATAGGTATTTTAAGGCCTCAAGGAATTAGTGCAATGAAAGGGACGAAATTTTACCTTCCGGGAAAAAAAAAAAAAAAAGGATGAAATTTGACAACATAAACGCAGGGACATTTTCCATAAGTCGTTTGACGAGCAAATCTGCTGAATGATAAAGCTACTTCAGTTAGCCTCTCCATCTCTTTTCCAAGTGACTCTTACCCTTCTACTCATCAGCAACATCTCTCCTTGGCTAACCACCAGACCCCTTCCTTACATCCTCTTTCACAAAGCACAGTCCTGGAGAATGCTCACAGATCTGGATAACTTCAACCACATTCCACCTTCCTCAATTGTGTGTTCAAAATTACCTTCTTAAATGTTAAATTAGGAAGTTCTACTCTAACTGGGAGAGCAATTTATCTTGAGTTTGCTTCCACATATTTCCTAGGTAAACTGTGTCATAGCTTATGTTTCCAGAACAGACAACACTTTGTTGAGATTTGTTTCAATAGGCTGGCCTGATGACCAAAGTTGTAGACCAGTGAGAAAAGGCAGTTTTTGGCTGCTGCTACAAAAAGTGGATATATAATCCCCAGACTCTATTAAAAACAGGCTTTCAATAGTAAAAACAGTGTTCCTGTTATGATTTNACCAGTGAGAAAAGGCAGTTTTTGGCTGCTGCTACAAAAAGTGGATATATAATCCCTAGACTCTATTAAAAACAGGCTTTCAATAGTAAAAACAGTGTTATATNCAAATGAATGTTGAGCATACTTAACATGGCTAAGGCATGCAGATATACATGTACACGCATTAATATGCGCACACACACACACAGATAACTGGCAGTGCACTGCAAGTCAACCTTGGACTTTTGGGTTCCTGTGNTCCTGCTTCAATATGGCCTTCTGCAAGTTTAAGTCTTTTTTTGAGGCCCTCAACCTCAGAATCTGTCAGGTAGAATATTTACCATGTTATTCATGTTAGCAATTCCAAATGAATGTTGAGCATACTTAACATGGCTAAGGCATGCAGATATACATGTACACACATTAATATGCGCACACACACACACAGATAACTGGCAGTGCACTGCAAGTCAACCTTGGACTTTTGGGTTCCTGTGAGATACATTAACCTCTTATGCATAAATTTTCTTTTACATATTGAGATGCATATAATTCCTTCTTTCAGTAAGCAACACACATTTCGTCATTCAGACCATAAAGGTATACAACTAGATAGAACTTGGAGACTGGTAATAGGTATTTTAAGGCCTCAAGGAATTAGTGCAATGAAAGGGACGAAATTTTACCTTCCGGGAAAAAAAAAAAAAAAAGGATGAAATTTGACAACATAAACGCAGGGACATTTTCCATAAGTCGTTTGACGAGCAAATCTGCTGAATGATAAAGCTACTTCAGTTAGCCTCTCCATCTCTTTTCCAAGTGACTCTTACCCTTCTACTCATCAGCAACATCTCTCCTTGGCTAACCACCAGACCCCTTCCTTACATCCTCTTTCACAAAGCACAGTCCTGGAGAATGCTCACAGATCTGGATAACTTCAACCACATTCCACCTTCCTCAATTGTGTGTTCAAAATTACCTTCTTAAATGTTAAATTAGGAAGTTCTACTCTAACTGGGAGAGCAATTTATCTTGAGTTTGCTTCCACATATTTCCTAGGTAAACTGTGTCATAGCTTATGTTTCCAGAACAGACAACACTTTGTTGAGATTTGTTTCAATAGGCTGGCCTGATGACCAAAGTTGTAGACCAGTGAGAAAAGGCAGTTTTTGGCTGCTGCTACAAAAAGTGGATATATAATCCCTAGACTCTATTAAAAACAGGCTTTCAATAGTAAAAACAGTGTTATATTGGTCATGAAAACTCTCTTGCAAGAGTGGGTGATTTCTACATATGCTCAATTTGTTAAATAAAATCAAAGTGGCAGGACATGAGAAGGTGATCATTTTCCTTTTTCATATAGTAATTATGGTTCCTTGTGTTCTAGACATGATTCCTCAATCTTTTAAGAATACCATGTGAGGAATCAACAAAAATCAAAGACGCAGTCAAGGCACAAATAATGTTTCTTAACAAATGAAAATCCAATCTTTTGTCAGGAGAATATATTTTCGACTGTTCTATGTGTTGTTCAATTTATTCGATAAGGCAAACAGATATCACACGACATGGACATGCTGAAAGGACAATTTATTATCAAACAATATACTAAATAAGGTTACACATCAATTTGAATGTGGCAATTTTGAATCCATTTTTACTTCAAAATTTAATCCAAATTTAATTCATTTGAGAAAGCACAAGGACGGCTCAAATTTAATCCACTTTTAATTCAATGGTCCAGATTTCATCACAATTCTTTCAACTTAATCCAAAGACACAATACTTCCCACACAAATATCAAATCCCGCCCATTTTAACTACACACACACCACCCCCACCCCATAACACCAGTTAGTGACCTCTCTCTCTCTCTCTCTCTCTCTCTCTCTCTCTCTCGTTTGCTGCCATGGCTAAACCAGCAGCCACACAACCCTCCTCCTCTGCAATGGCTCCCTCTTTTTGCCATGGTTCCTCTCACATTGCCCAGGTACAACCCCCCCTTCTCTCTCTCACAACACAGACACAGTCGCAAACACACACACAGAGCTCACCCAAACACACACACACAGATAACGCGCGCGCGCACACACACAGCAGCACAACACACACAAACAAACCCAGCACACAGATAATGTGCACACACACACGCAGCAAATAAATTTGGGTGTTTTCAATGTTTTTTTTTTATTATGAAATAGATTTATAGCTNCACACAGCAGCACAACACACACAAACAAACCCAGCACACAGATAATGTGCACACACACACGCAGCAAATAAATTTGGGTGTTTTTGATTTGTGTGTTTTCAATTTGTTTTTTTTTTATTATGAAATAGGTTTATAGTTATAATAAAATAGGTTTATAGTTATGATGAAATAGGTTTTTTTTATTATGAATGTTAGGATGGATGGAATGGATGTTGAGTTGATTATTATTGCATATTCATTTTGTAGGCTAATTTATTTTTAAATTAGATTTTCAATTTGGGTGTTGAATATAGTTTATGAAATTTTAATTTGATTTTTTTTCTTAATTATGAAATAGGTTTATAGTGTCCTGATTTGATGAATGTTATGCTTATTTACATAAAGATTGTGTTTTAATTTATTTTACTTCCATCATTGTGTGTTAATTAGTATGAAATTTGGTTTTTAAATGTTTGTGTGTTTAATTAGGGTGTTTTCAATTTGTTTTTTTTTTTTATTATTATGAAATAGGTTTATAGTTATGATGAAATAGGTTTATTATGAAATGTCATTTGGGTGTTTAATTTGGGTGTTTTTAAGTTGAATGTTTTTAATTCAAGTGCTTTCAATTTATTTATTTTTTATCATGGANACAACACAGACACAGTCGCAAACACACACACAGAGCTCACCCAAACACACACACACAGATAACGCGCGCGCGCACACACACAGCAGCACAACACACACAAACAAACCCAGCACACAGATAATGTGCACACACACACGCAGCAAATAAATTTGGGTGTTTTCAATGTTTTTTTTTTATTATGAAATAGATTTATAGCTATGAAATAGGTTTATAGTTATAATAAAATAGGTTTATAGTTATGATGAAATAGGTTTTTTTTATTATGAATGTTAGGATGGATGGAATGGATGTTGAGTTGATTATTATTGCATATTCATTTTGTAGGCTAATTTATTTTTAAATTAGATTTTCAATTTGGGTGTTGAATATAGTTTATGAAATTTTAATTTGATTTTTTTTCTTAATTATGAAATAGGTTTATAGTGTCCTGATTTGATGAATGTTATGCTTATTTACATAAAGATTGTGTTTTAATTTATTTTACTTCCATCATTGTGTGTTAATTAGTATGAAATTTGGTTTTTAAATGTTTGTGTGTTTAATTAGGGTGTTTTCAATTTGTTTTTTTTTTATTATGAAATAGGTTTATAGTTATGATGAAATAGTTTTATTATGAAATGTCATTTGGGTGTTTAATTTGGGTGTTTTTAAGTTGAATGTTTTTAATTCAAGTGTTTTCAATTTATTTTTTTTTTATCATGAAATAGGTTATAGTTATAATGAAACAGAGTTATTATGAAATTTCAATTTTTTTTATTATGATTGTTAGNTTTTTTATCATGGAATAGGTTATAGTTATAATGAAACAGAGTTATTATGAAATTTCAATTTTTTTTATTATGATTGTTAGGATGGATGGAATAGATGTTAGCTTGATTATTATCGAGTGTTCATTTTGTAGGCTAATTTATTTTCAAATTGGGATTTCAATTTGATTTTTTTTTTTAATTATGAAATAGGTTTATAGTGGCTTGAATTGATGAATGTTAGGGTTATTTACATTAAGATTGTGCGTTAATTTATTTTAATTCCATCATTGTGTGTCAATTAGTATGAAATAAAATTTTGTCATAGGAAAAATTGCATCAACGTCTCCTCTACTCTCTCTCTCACACAGTTGAATACACACACATCACATACACACACACACACCATCCTCTCCCACACACACTACTATGACTTTCCAAATTAGAAATTTTCATATTTGTTTCTATTGAATGTTATAGTTGTTAGTGATATTTTGATTGAATGTTATGGTTTTGAAATTGAATGTTAGCTTTGTTTTGATTGCGATTGGGTTTAGATTTCACTTTTTGTATTTTTATGAAATTGGATAGCGTTTGTTAGTTGTTTGAAATTGGATGTTAACTGCATTACAAACTGGATGTCAATTTTATAATATAAAGTTCAGGTGATTAATTT